GCGGGGACTTCGGGGATGACTCGCCACCCCGTGTCCCCGCATATGAGGAGCTGGTAGAGGTTGTTTCCCGTGCAGTGGCTCATTTAAAGATCGATTGGCCACAAGAAAAGCAGGAAGTGCAAGTTAAAAGCAAATTAGATGAGCGCTTCCTGCAGCACAGGGAACAACCTCATCATCGGGGCTTACCGTTTTTTCCCGATTTGCATACTGAGGTGTGTAAATCGTGGAAGAAACCCCATTCTTCTCGTGTTTCCAATCCCACAATATTAAAATATAGTAATATCATGGGGGCACGAGAGAATGGTTATGGGATGATGCCGCGGGTTGAACAGCCTTTGGCTAACTATTTATCACCTGAGTCGGCATCATCCTTTAAAGCCCCGGTGCTGCCCACCAAGCCATGCAGAGAAACATCTTCACTGGTGGGCAGGGCATATATGGCTGCGGGTCGGGCTGGTGCGAGTCTTCACACCATGGCGCTTCTCCAAGCGTACCAGGCCGACCTTCTTAAGGATATTGATGAGGGCGAGGGACCAACTCCGGAGGATGTGGCGGAGTTGAGGAAGGTCGCTGATTTGTCTCTCCGAGTCACCAAAGAGACGGCCCGCGCTGTCGGTCGCTCCATGGCGGCAATGGTGGTCTCGGAGAGACATTTATGGTTAAATCTGACGGGCATCAGGGAGAAAGACAGGGCTTTCCTCCTTGATGCCCCGATTTCGCCTTCTGGCCTGTTCGGCGACGCTGTTAATACCGTTGTCGACAGGTTTCAGGAGGCGAAAAATCAATCAGCGGCCTTCAAACAATTTCTCCCTCGTCGCTCAGTATCCGGGAAGTCTGCCCCCAGTGGGCAGTCGCAGCCTCAGCCAGGTACCAGCTCCTCCACCTACAGGCAGGTTCAGAGAGAGAGCGTCGCGTCTAGAGCCCCCCCTCAAGGAGCTTGGGGGCATAGACGGCGCTCTCAATCTAAGCCGCAAGCCAAGCAGGGCGACCTGAGGGCCGTCCTGCAGGCTAAGAAAACATCTAAGAGGTCCTAGCAGTGCTAGGATCTCTGCGGGCGGCCCCCCGTGATGGAGCGACTGAGGTCGTCTCCCTCGCGGAGCCCGCAGGAAATCGATGTTGTTCTCCCGCCGTCAAGTACGTTTCGGGACGCATCGGTTTCCAGCGATCGCAAGCTGCTTTGTCCGCCCCACGAGCCTGCGGACGGGCAGCGATTGCGTTCGCCCATCGAGAATCGTTTTCGGTCCAGTCCTGCCGGAGATTCGTTTCAGGCGGTCGAGAACGAATCCCGATTAATACCCGAAACCAGGCTCGAGAGCCTGGTTCCCTTGGCGAAATATTTCGATGCATGGAAAAATCTAGCGAATATTTCCCGTGGGCGCTGCGCACGATACAATACGGGTACAGGCTGCAGTTCGGGTTCCACCCACCCAGATTCAACGGGGTGGTCTGGACTGTAGTCAACCCGACGCAGGGTCGGGTATTGGAACAGGAAGTAAACTCCCTGCTGGCAAAGGGGGCCATAGAGCATATTCCTCCACTAGACAGGGAGTCCGGGTTTTACAGCCGCTACTTTATAGTTCCCAAAAAAGATGGGGGGGTTGCGTCCGATCATAGATCTCAGATATCTGAACCGCTCTCTGAGGAGATTCAGGTTCAAGATGCTCACTATTCCCATGATCGTGAGTCAGATCCAATCCGAGGATTGGTTCGTCACGATAGATCTGAAGGACGCATACTTTCATATATCCATCCTTCCATCCCACAGGAAGTTCCTGAGGTTCGCTTTCGGGGGCGAAGCGTACCAATATCGGGTTCTTCCATTCGGCCTAGCTCTTTCTCCCCGCACATTCACCAAATGTATGGATGTAGCTCTAGCACCTCTGAGGCTCCAGGGCATCAGGGTGCTCAACTATATAGACGACTGGCTGATTTTGGCCCAGTCTCAAGAGCTGGCGGTTCAGCATCGAGATGTTGTTCTTGCCCACATCCAGAAACTGGGGTTGAGACTAAACACGAAGAAGAGCGTGTTGATACCAGCCCAAAGGACTACGTTCCTGGGAGTGGTATGGGATTCGGTCGTAATGCGGGCACGATTGTCGCCTGCGCGAGTCGAGTCCATTCTGGCCACAGTGGCTGGGATAAAGCTAGGCCAAGCCGTCACTGTCAAGCATTTCCAGAGAGTGCTGGGACTCATGGCAGCAGCGTCCAACATCATTCCATTTGGCCTGCTGCACATGAGGGCCCTCCAGTGGTGGTTAAAAACCAAGGGGTTCTCCCGAGGGGAAACCCGTTCGCACAATCAGAGTTACGCGCAGATGCCTTCGTTCTCTGGTTATGTGGAAGAAAGCTTGGTTCTTGTCCCAAGGTCCAGTGTTGGGAGCGCCATGTCGCCGGAAAACCGTTTCGACAGACGCTTCCCTCACGGGCTGGGGCGCGGTCATGGACGGCCGCTTCACGACAGGCCTATGGCGGGACCATCATTCCTCCTGGCACATAAACTGCCTGGAAATGTTGGCGGTCTCCCGGGCTCTGAGGAGCTTCCTGCCGGACCTCAGAGGTCATCACGTCCTCGTGAGGTCAGACAGCATGTCAGTGGTGGCCTATATAAACCATCAGGGGGGCCTGAGGTCTCGCCCTCTATGCAGACTGGCGCATCAGATCCTCCTGTGGTCCCAGGGGAAACTGTTGTCTCTGAGAGCAACATACATCCCGGGAAGTCTAAATCAGGGAGCAGACGTCCTGTCGAGACAGGGGCTGAGGCCCGGGGATTGGAGACTTCACCCCGAGGTGGTGGAGTCGATATGTCAGAGGTTCGGCCCTGTGGAAGTGGACCTGTTTGCGTCTCGAGAGACGACCCACTGTCCGCTGTGGTTTTCCCTCACCCCTCCAGCCCCACTGGGGCTGGATGCTATGGTGCAGACGTGGCCGAGGCTGCGTCTGTATGCATTTCCCCCGATCGCTCTGCTCCCGGGAGTTCTGGAAAGGGTCCGTCGCGACGGGATCAGTCTACTGTTGGTAGCCCCGTTGTGGCCGGCCCGAGTATGGTTCTCGGACATAATATTGCTCCTAGACGGCCCTCCGTGGGAGATTCCCCTCAGGAGGGACCTGCTGACACAGGCGGGGGGCTCAATATTTCACCCTCGGCCGGAGTTATGGAAACTGTGGGTCTGGCCCCTGAGGGGGCACAGTACCTAGAGGCCGGCCTGTCAGCTGGAGTAGTGGAGACCATACTCAGCTCTAGAGCTCCCTCCACGAGGAAACTGTATGGTTTAAAGTGGAATGTGTTTATTGATTGGTGTAGGAGGCGTGAGGTTGACCCAGTTAACTGCCCAGTGGCTTCAGTGCTGGAGTTCCTCCAAGATCGCTTCTCCTCTGGTCTTACCCCGTCCACGCTCAAGGTGTACGTGGCTGCCATTGCGGCTTTCCACGCTCCGTTGGGTGATGGGTCTCTGGGGAGACACCAATTGATCGTACGTTTCCTCCGTGGAGCTTGGAGGATGAGACCTGCGGCTCGTACCAGGGTTCCCTCTTGGGACCTGGCAGTAGTTCTAGAAGGATTGGCTGAGGCCCCCTTCGAGCCACTGGAGTCGGCTGAGGCCAAGAACCTAACGCTGAAGGTCGCTTTTCTGTTGGCCATCACTTCTCTGAGGAGGGTGGGAGATCTTCAGGCGCTCTCCATATCTAACGAGTGCCTGGAGTTTGCTCCAGGCAACATTAAGGCCATCCTTCACCCTAGGCCTGGCTATCTGCCTAAGGTGCCATCTAATGTGGCACGGCCTACGGTTCTGCAGGCATTTCATCCCCCACCTCACCTGACGGCGGATGAGGAGAGACTTCATAGGCTCTGCCCTGTCAGAGCACTAGGGATATATATTCAGAGGTCCTCTTCATGGCGGAAGGCGGACCAGTTGCTGGTATGTTTCGGGTCGCCCAAAAAGGGGTTTCCGGCCTCAAAACAAACCATCAGCAACTGGATTGTCAATGCGATTTCCACAGCTTATCAGGTGCGCGGTATGCCTTCACCTTTGGCTGTGAGGGCCCATTCCACTAGAGGCATAGCATCCTCTAGGGCCCTTCTCGCAGGGGCCCCCATCCAGGAAGTCTGTGATGCAGCTGGATGGGCTACCCCACATACCTTCATTAGGTTTTTACAGCTGACATTCCGTCGACACCCGGCTCTCTTGTGCTCGCGTCTGAGTGTGCCTGTGAGCAGCTTCACACCAGGACAGGCAGGGCGCGTTGTGGCGTAGTGGGTACTCGTTCCCCCAAAGTGTCACTTGGACGCAGTTTGAGTTCCCTCGATAGGGAACGTCCTCGGTTACGACTGTAACCCTTGTTCCCTGAGAAGGGAACGAGAACTGCGTCTCGTGGCCACGCCTTCCCCTGCCTGGGAGCGCTTGCTTCATCACAGAAGCTGACATGTTGTGTGTGCCGGTTCCTTATATATGCTTCCGCCTATGTGTCGTCACACATCACGTCATCACGTTGATCCAATCGGAGATTGGCTTAGTTTCATTCATGCTTCAGAGACGCTACGCTGAGGGGCGTTCCCCCAAAGTGTCACTTGGACGCAGTTCTCGTTCCCTTCTCAGGGAACAAGGGTTACAGTCGTAACCCGAGGACGTTTGCGGTAAGGAAGCCATAAACAGAAACAGCTGTAAACAAACTTTAGCGTGTTGTGTACGAGTCCCGAATGACTTGAAGTCGAACACTTCCATCCTTCCCCACTAGGGAACCTTTAATGATGTTAAATGGCCTTTGTTATTGCAGTGCTTATATGGATCCTATGAATCGTAGAATAGATTGGTTTGTTTGTGTGGCTGGCCCGTCTGAGAGAGAGCAAGAGAGAGACACACATGAATGTTTAGTCTCATTAGTTTTGAGCCCAAACTCATCCTTACACAGCACATTTCCTCTCGACCCGACCCAGTAACCCACTCTGGTACTGCTGCCAGCTTGACACACCAGACTGATTTACGGCTCATCCGGCCCACACTCACCTTTCTTGTCCCCGAAGAAGAGGGTCTGTTGTGCTGGATTTGACCACTGGAGGGAGGTGTTATCATTATAATCCACTCGACAGGTCATGTTAGCCGTGCTGCCCTCGACCACCGTCACATTCTGGGTGATGGGGAACTGAGTCTGGCTACCTGCAGAGAGATAGACAAGAAGAGAAAAAAGAGATGGGTATATAAACAAACAACTGCTACACAGGAGAGAGGACGAAAAAGGAGAGAAAGCTCTCAGGGGACTACTGGGACAACTGGTCTCAATAATGGCCATCATGAGGGTAGTTTAATTAACACGATCATAAAATGGATATTTGCAGTCCTGGGTGTTGATAGTTACTTTAGCTTGTTTAGCTAAATGCTAATCGGAGTTTAAAGTAGTGGCACTTGCATCTATTCAATTCAAGCTGCACTACTAGCTACACTACTACAAGCATCAAAAAAAAAAAAAAAAAGATAACCAAGCTTTAGTTAGCAGGGCTCCAGACTGCGACCAAATGGTCGCATTTTGCGACCAAAAATTGAGAGTGTGCGACTGAATTTTACATCCAGTCGCACATGTGCGACCAGTAAATTTGCCACACGTTAAACGCATGGTAAAGCGTGGAAGAGGCGCGTCAATGACTCTGTGACAAGAATAGCGCGCGTAAACGTTTGTGGGAAGGAGACGGAAACATATCACAACCTGATGTGCGTCTGAGCAATCAGCGATCTATCGACTCTTTAGTCGTTACCTAGCAACGAATGCAAACAAAATGAAAGTGGAACGAAAATACGCCACTCATGTATGATTAGGACCGTGGAGCAGCAGCAGCGATCCGAACCATTGACAAAATAAAGCCCCGAACTTGCCAGTCGCGGGCCGATCTCGCTCACGCAACACTGTTACTAGAGCCAGTGAAGAAATCTATTGAATTCGCCTCAGAATTAATAACATCAACACCACGAGATCCAGTGAGAAACACTCCGATTCGGCGCAGAGTTCTGTTGTAAACCATATCAGATCAAACAGCGCTGACGTGGAAACCAGGAGAAACACTTATAGAAGGCTTTCAGTCCACAAATCAGCCTAACAGAACCATGAATTTAGGCAAGTTAACTCTTACCATAAATATGATAATGTGTAAGTAGCCTACTACACATCCTTTCCCAGCACTCCAATAATATCATATATAAATGTTTTATTTTTTTGTATTTTTTATGTGATTGATTACCATACCAACACATGTTTTGTTCATCCTTTAAAGATTGTCCTTAAACGAAAAATTTTTAAGATGTTGGAAAACTCTTATTTAAACACTTAAAATAATAATATTAATACCATTGTGAACAGTAGGATGTTTATTGGCTATTTTCACTCCATATACATATTTTCACTACTTTTATTAATTATTATTAAGACATTATAAATGATAAAAACTAAAGTTAATTTCATCTACACCCTAAATTAAGCTTAGTGATTTATTGTTAGCCCCAGTGCTACCAGATTTTTTTTTTTTATAGAACTGTGAGTTCTCATTTGAGGTGATGCTGCCCTCAACTTTGGGTCTGGAGCCCTGTGAAGTTAAAATAAAACAGCATATCATAATGTTAAGTCTATTTATTATTAAAGAATTTGTCAGTATTACAGTTATTTTGTGGGAAATTTGAATAATTGCATTGCAAGCTTATTTAAGGTGTGCCCCTACATTTTTTGCTTGTGCTCCTAAAATTTTCAGTCAGGGGCAACAGCGCTCCTAGTAAAAAAAGCTAGTCTGGAGCCCTGGTTAGTTATAACCTTTGCTTATTACAATAATAATAATAAAAAAAAACAGTTTTATTCTAGCTTAATACATTCTTTTTTTATTACCACTTCAAATGGATAAGTTTCATAAAAAAGCAACATTTTGAAAAAAAAGCTGTGAAATTCAAAGACTACAACGTGCACAAGCAATGCTTTTATCTATTGCTTCTGCTTCTTTGCCTGTGTTTTGATATGCCGGAGATTCTATGTAATAGCGGTATAGCGCCCCCTACCACATAATAGTGAAAGCCCGGAATGTCGGAAAATTCCATCAATGGCGGGAAAGCGTTGTTTCATAATTGACAGAAAATTCCACCAATTCATTAAAAATAATTTGTCGTGATGCACCACTAATCACTGGTAAGCATTTAGATTATGGAAAAGCTACTTCAAACAGCTACTCTCAATGCTAATGAAAAATACAGTTAAGATGCTAAACTATGCTAAATGACATACAGACCTTCGTCAAAAGTCCTTATTCAGTGTTCGATAGAAATAACAACATACGAGTTTCAAACGACATGAAGGCAAGTAAATAATGGCAGATTTTTCATTATTTGCAGCATTCATGTTTTTCTTAGTAAGTACTTATTAATGAATGATTACGCTAATGCATTTAATGTCTACAGTGGTCTAGCAATGCTCTTCTTCCATAGCTATACAACCTTTCAGGAACAACTAAATTGGTCCAACTATTGACTTGTACGTTCTATTGAATACTACATATATTAAGAGCATGTTAAACCCATTACGCTCAAAATGATGGATTATTGCACACATTTAGCACAGCGTTTGGGTATAGAAAGCGAAACAATGGTGTAATTCTTTCCCTCTCGCTCTCTTTCTGTTCATTCTGACTTGGGATCAGCAGTAATTGGTAGCATGGCCTAATTAGAGCTAGTCATGTTCGGCAAGGGAGACACTGCCACTGCAGCTGGGTGGTAAATTGACACATAATCCAAACTATGGTGGGCCTTCGATCCTGTCTCATCTGGGAAAGGGGTATGGAATTTATAGTGTTAGTGTGTGTGTGTGTGTAAGGGGCATTGGGGACATCCAAGCCAGGCTTAATCACGCAGCTTCAGTGGATTCTGCTCGGACTTATTCCACATTTGTTTTCCTTGTCTTGCCGAAAAGTCGCCTAATTGCATTCCGGTTGCATCTCAAATGAGTATTCCTTTGTTTTTTAGCCAATTTAGCATAGGGAAAAATTCACCAATGGGGCAGGTGCTCTCGAAGGTAAAGTGTGTAACTTTTTAAAATAAAAATACAGTGAAAACAGTAGTGTTGTGAAATATTATTACAATATAAAATAACTGTTTTGTATTTAAATATAATTTAAAATGTCAGTCTTCAGTGTCACATGATCCTTCAGAAATCATTCTAATATGGTGATTTGCTACTCAAGAAACATTTATTATTATTATTATCAATGTTGAAAGCAGTTGTGCTCCATAATATCTTTGTGGAAACAGCAATACGTTTGGAGGTTCAGGATTATTTGGTGAAAAGAGTTTAAAATAGATTTTTTTATAGCATTATAAATGCTTTTAATGTAAATTTATAAAAAATAAAAAAATTTCTTTCAGAAAAATAAGCAAAAAATAGGTCTTACCGATCCCAAACTTATGAATGGTTGTACTGTACATGCATTTCTTTTCTTAAGAATTGGTAAGTTTAATATATTCATGATCCAAAACTGAATATTCTGTCGAAAAATATTTGATGTATTTAAAAATAATATAAACACGACATAATAAAAAAATAAAATAATACATATATTAAACAAATATTTTTAGATAGAATATCCAGTTTTATTTACAGCTAAATCCCAGGAACTGTGAAGTGGCTCGTAAATCAGTGTGTTAGCATGCATGAAATTATTCACGAGTTAATACTCGTCTCGTGGCAGTAGGGGATCACCGTGTGGGCTCCCCAAAGGCGCCAGGCACTGCTGCGTTCTCCTGAAGGTGACATTGGGATCTGTCTCATTCAAGGCCCACATGCTACGGACGTGTTGTACCGACCGCGGTTTCCACTGCCTCCTCCATTATTCCAGAACAACATGAGCACACGAGGTGTGAGGTGTTCTTGAAATTGACGTGGAGTGTGAATGTTAAATAGTGATGCTGGCTGACCAACAAAAAAAATCAAGTGATTAGACTAAGAGAAAGTGGGAACCAATTAAGAGGAAGGTCAAAAAAGAGACTGGCATTATAGAGATTTACTTTCATTACTAGAAAAGGAGTAGTTCTCAGATTTCATTAAAAAAATATCTTCATTTGTGTTTCGAAAATTGAACGAAATTCTTATGGGTTTGGATCGACATGAGTATGAGTAAATGACAGAGTTTTCGTTTTTTGTGTGAACTATCCCTTTACCTAAAATCAGAGAACAAATTATCACAACATGGCCATGATTTAGTACAGTAAATCGAGAGAACTAATTATTATTTTGTGCATATGATATATTTAAAGCTGCAGTCCGCAGTTTTCCCTCTTTGTCGCCATCTCTGTTCGAAATCACCAATTGCAGTTATTTGTGGAATTATCAACTTCACGCGAGTTGTAGCCTACTTTGACACCCTCGACACGGCAGAGCGCGAATGAACACAGCATTTGAGGAGAGTGTGAGGCTGTCAGTCACCGTGCCGGTGTGGATACTGGCATTCAGAATCACAGATTTTTGTTTTTGGAAGTATGACCAACATAAGAATTTTCATCGGAAAATGTCATCTGAACAAGTAAGTAACATCCACTTTTGTTCTGGTTCTGACATTGCTGTAAAACGCGCTGATTAAATCTAACAATCGCTTATCATATCACATATCGCAAAAACGTGCAAATTATACTTTGTTCTCGTTAACAACGACAGCAAGCATTGCGTGACTACACGTAACATCCTTCTGATATGTATCTTTGTTTTCGCATGGGTCCGGATGCAGTCTCTTTTTTTCACTCCGAAGTCCGAACGAAGTCTTTTGCATTTTACAGCGGGTGAATATGTCGTCACTGGTGATTGTCGTTTGAACCTTTCTGGATCCGCCATCAAATTGATAAGTTGAATTATATCAAGTGCAGTGAGAAAAGGCTATAAATCTCAACCTCCAAAATCCTCACTAGCCGAGACTCCTTTATCTGTACAGATGTGACGTAATGACTCAATATAACCGACTAGCTGAGACTCCTTTATGTGTACAGATATTTTTGCAAGATTTCGTGACGGGTTCAAGTTGATCATGTAGGTTTACCATGTTGAACAGCAGAAAATGCAGTTTTTGTTTTCGCGGAACTAGCTTACATTTCACACAGAAACAAAGTTCTCTCTAACTGTATATAGTTGGGAAAGCTTTGTAAAT